ATGTTCTGACATATCTAAGCAGTGTAACAGGACCTCTGCCTCAGTCAGACTCTTTAGGGTCATCCACTCTGAGGATGAAGAAGTTATCAGTGAAAAACTAAATTGTCAATCCAGATTTCTTCACAGGACAACAACCAAGGTTCATTATTTATTTAAAATTGTTATCAAATCTTGGCCGGAATTGTATAGATCTCAAAAATTGCTTTTGATCCTGGATGTAGTGAAATCATAAGTTATTGTGTCATAGAGCTGAACAATAACTAAAGATTTTGTTTTTGATTACTGAAAAATATTCAGTTTTAATTTTTCTCCATCTCTATTCATGATTTTGAATATTGAGATGTATGAAGTTAATTTCAACTAGAGAAAATTAAATAGAATTTTGAAGAAAGAGGATATAAGAGAATCTGTTACTAACTGAGCTTAGGAAAAAAAGAGTATTACTTGGACCTAACTAATAGTTTCTTAATCCCAGAGTATCTTGAGGACAAAACCATGCTGTATAGATTCCTCTTGGAATGGATGTTGTACATGTGAACATTAATCATATCAATCTACCATATACAACTGTGGATGTGATCATAGAAAAAGGCTTTATAAAAATCACAGAAAAATCAATTTTTAAAAAAGCTCTAAAAAGATGTAAAATTTTGTCAAAGTTCTGAGAAAAGACTGGGAGTAAAAGAAAATTCATACAAAGTAAGAGAGTAGAAAAACTTTTTTTTTTTCTTCTTTTCTTTTTATGTGCTATTGCTGTAATTCAAATAAGTCTCTGAATCTGCAGAGAAAAAACTTTCCTGAAAACTACAATTACAAATGCATATAAAATACTGTCTGAATTCAGCTTCCTCACTTATTTTGCCTGGTAATGGAAGCACAGTGCAATATTAAATGAGTTCTGTCATACACGCTCCCTTTGGAATACAGGGTGAAAAGTAATTTTATAATATTTCATTTTCTATGGCAGCTTTAGCTTTAAATCCACATTTAAGTAGCTAAAACAGAGCTTGGTTTTGGGAAATCGAATAAGATATTAAGTGCCTGTTTGTCCCATTGTCTTTAACAGGATTGAGCACAAGCTTGAAAGCTCAACAAAAGCTTGAATACTATTTTGAATAGGGAACCTTGAACTGTTGGAACTGTTGTATTTAAAAATAAAACATCAAGGCTATTTATCCTTCAGTAGAGACACTGTTACTGGTTATGAATATCATTTCGCTAACCCCACTGGAAACTTCAGGCAACACAACAAATTATAGATAGTCTTGTGAATTAAGGATTTGTGTGCATGTGTTTTAGAAGAAAAAAGCAAAGACAAAAACAAACAAACAAACAAAAACAATACAAAGAAATAAAAACAACAAACTAAAAGAACTATATAGACAAATAAATTGCCCACTTTGGGATTTAAATGTTACTGATAAAACTTTGAAGTTCATAACGTAATTAGATTTATGCTGTATTGGGGAACCATCAGAGAACACATGATGAGATGAATGAAGTAGGGATATAAGTATACATTTTTGTTTCACATTTGATTCTACTTGGTTGGCAACATTTTTTTTCTGCAAAACTGTCTTGATAGTACAAAAAACATCTTTGAGGAAAAAATATGAAAGAAAACAGTGTTCTCAGGCCTTCTTCTTTCACACCTCTTTGACAGTGTGAAGAGACTGTAGAGATGGTGTAAATAACAGAGAAAAATTGGGCTTGTTAATTACTACTGAGCATATTACTTGCTCTCATGAGTAATTCCACTGGAATCAGGGTATAAATCACTGTGCTTGGTTGTAAATGTTTTCAAGACTGGGAAGTCTTCTGAGTCTTCTGGGATATTTCACTGTGTGTGTGTCAATTACACTTTTACAACTCATCTCTCTTGTGTGCATTTTCCCAGCAGCAGCTCCCTTTCCTACTAAGCTATGCTGGCCCAGAAGGCCATGAGATGTGCGTATTAAGCAAGAAGACAGTGCATTATGCTCAGAAAGGTCTTAAAAAAAAATTTAACTCTTTTTAGTGGTGTGGGGTTTCTTCAATAAAAGCTTTGTTCTGCAAACCTGTCATAAGAAGTTTATGACTGACCTTGCTACTTTAGCATATGTTGAAATCTCTCAAAGGAATGGACATCATGTAAAATGATGCAATGCCCACTCGTAATAGTTTATTCAAAGGGTAAAACTACAGGTTTAGGAACAAAGTACTGGGGCAACCTGACCCTTTCTCCTTTATTTCTGGTGGTATAAATTAGCATAAGAACTTAAAAAATTTAAAAAATGAAGAATAAGAGAGAAAAAGAGAAGAGACTACCCAAAACCCATAGAGGTTTTGAGAGTATAAATAAATGTCTGCACCTGGCACGCACCTGCTGCCTGAGGGATGAGAGACTGGAGAGCAGCTCCTCAGAAAGGGGCCTGGGGCTTCCAGCTGACACCAAGTTGAATCTGAGAGATCAGTGTGTGCTAGAAGCCAAAGGGGCCAACTGTTACCTGGGATGCACCATGCCAGAACTGCCAAATGGGCAAGGGAAGGGATTGACTGCTCTGTGCTGTGTGGCTGCACCTCGAGCCCTGGGCACTACAGTATATGGATATAAAACTAAGACAGAGGTATCAGACATAGGGTTTGGATGTTGAATAGCTCTGTGTGGAGCCAGGAGTTGGACTCAATGATGCCCCCTTTCCAACTTGGAATATTCTGTTCTGTGTGGTTCTTTTTAAGTTTTGAGGAAAGAATATTGTACACTTCAGGAAAATTAGTCTGGGTCTATAAATCTAAAGGCTTTTATATTTATTTTTGTTTTGTTTTCCATTTGCTCTCAGCACATGTTTTTCAATTTACAAACAGAGAAAAGACAAGTTAGTATATAAATGTTTTGCTGACTGTAGCTCACCAGCATTTTCTCATAACGGACATGAACTCTGTGAATTCCCAGTGAATTTCCATTTTTGTATGATGTTGTTTTTTTTCCTGTTACTTCTCATCTTATTTCTTAGCCTATAACCAGAACATACACACTGCACTGTTAAACAGGCATATGCCATTGATTATAGGAAGATATAGCTTATCGAGCATTTAAGCTGATTCCTGTTCTAAGTGCCTTTAAATAAGTTCTTCAGACCAAAATTAAATTGTTGCTCCCTCACTAGAGAGAAAAATAAAATCCACACAGCTACATCTGGCACTCAGCAATCTCATCAGAGGACTGGAAAAAATCTATTCATTATTAGAAAAATTGTCTATTGTTAATAGAGTAAGCAATGGATTCCTGTTCTCATCTCAACTGGGAATTAGCTGGCTTGTCTGTTTGAACAGAGGTGACAAAAAACATTTTTTGATTGAATTCACAGAGCATCTGCTTACACAATAAATCCAAAATATCTTTATGCATAGTACTAACTTGCACTGGATTGAATTTTTTTTTCTGTGTAGTATGCCAACTAAACTTGTCATCTGTACACTGACTGCCTATATCTGAACATAATGTGATCTTGGGACATATTTTTGTTACCTTGAGTGTCTTTAGATTGGACAGGTGATTATTTCTTTCTTTCTTTTTTTTTTTTTTTTTTTCCTGTTTATTTATTTATTTATTTATTTATTTTTAAACTGAAACAAGGTTCAAAAGTTAAAGTTTCCAATGTATTGCCTTGATAAATTTATGGTTACACAAATTAAATAAAAATCATTTTGAGAGGTGAAGAGGAAGATTTTCTTAGTCTTTTTTTCTCCTTCCTTTTCTCCTTTGATTTTCCAAATGTTTTATTTTTACTTTCTCAAGAAACCTATAAGTGATTGCAGAACAAACCAATTGAACAAAGATTTCTTTCCTTACAATTATTTTTTTTTCCATATACTGTGATTACATCTGTCCTATTTAAGATATACTTTAAAAGCATACTTTAACAATTTAACAACTCACATTATTTATACACACGCTTAAGAAAAATCTAAATGTACTGGGTCAGAATTACATGCTATATCACTAGAATTGCTCTACTGACATTTGGAAGATACAAATTAAACAGGATAAGGTACAATTGTTATTAATAGCAATGCAGAAGTAGCTTGTGTCTGAAAGAGAGAGCACCCTTTTGCACTAACTACAATACAAGTGAACAGCACTTCAAATTATTTACGTCTTAATTAAAAAAAGCAAGACAAGGTAAAAGGGCAGCAGTCATAGACAAATGAAAATGTGTGTCAAAAGTCATATGGAAGACTAACACCTGAAATGTGATTGAAACCTATATTTTCTGAGTCTTAACAGTCTCTCTACTCTATGCACATTCCCATCTTTTCTTCCATACACTTCATTGTGTGACATGCAAGTTAAAACATCCTCAGTGCTTTCTCTGCTGTGCATAGTCTAATATTTAGGAATGCATGTACATTCACACAGACAGCAGAGTGCTTGATTTGCAATGGGATACAAGAGCACATAAATAGCTGGTGAAACACAAGGTACTGTCAGTGCCTGTAAATACCAGAGATGCGTGCAATAGAAGTGACTACATAAATGATATAGATGCACTGTTTTGCAGGTGCAGTTTTGCAAAGCCAGGTGAGGGAAAAAGTCACAACACATGAATCATTTTAGCTCCTGAGTATAACTCTCTGCTGTCAATTCCAGTTCTGTTTGTCATCAGACAAAGACACTCAAGACAGTAAACCATTACAGCTCTGCATTCTTCTATCCCCAAGGGGGCCTTTTTAAAGAGGCAAATTGATTTTTGCCACCAGACAGTGAGTCATGCATACAAACAAGGAGAGTGCTTATGAATCCCTATTTTCATTTCCCCATGGTGCTTGGTAAGGTGAGTTGTTTGCCTGATTTGTTTAAGAATATGTTTTGGGAAAGAAACAAAAGAAAGCAAAACACAAAACCCTAATGTTTTTAACCCCTGCCTCAAGAATACAATATATCTGTCAGCATAGAAATAAATGCTTTCATTCCCTATGGAGAGCTTGCATTTTTGGTTTACACAGAATTGATATGATCAAATAGTTTTCCACGTGCTACATGTAGGACTTTTTCATGACTATTTTATACACTTTACATGACTATTTTCGGGGGGGGGGGGGAATGAAGAAAAAAAGGAACAAATCCCAAATAAAAGGTTCTGTTGTCTGCAGCGGTATTTGAAATTATTTGATGTGCCCTAGGGTGCCCAAGGTCTTCGCTGGACCTACGGAAGACCTGTATTCTTTCAGAGGAACAATTGGAGCATAGGTGTGCACTCTTGTTCCTATAGAAACCTGTAGAGAAGGGGAGAAATTGACTCAATTAACTCCAGCAGATAGCAGCAAAGAAATTGAAAGCACACTATATAAACTAAGCATATCTCTGTTCAAAGTCTAAAACTGACTTTGTCTCATTCTTTAAACTTAGGCATCTTGGATTTTCATACCTCGTTCTTCTTCACAAACAGTCTTCTTGCTGCAAGTGCCTTTGTTTTTCTTCCTTTTGTTGCTTAGGGTTATTTCTCAGTCATTTAATGAAAATATATGTTGTTCTAAAAATACTGATATTATAATTCAATGTTACTGAGAAAGTTTTAGACTTAGGTTAGATCTGTAAGTTTTCAGTGGCGCAAAAAGAATGAGCAGAAAAAATCATCACCTACACTGTCAGACGTGCAGGGCGCACTGCAAGTTGCACCTATTGATAGCAGATAATGTGGGCTTGCAGGAGAAGGGATGTGGAGATTGGAGAGAATAGAGTTTGGCTTCTGAAGGCTGCAACTGCATTTGCTTTTTGTATTTGCATGCCCTTTTTGCTTTCCAACTTCTCCTTTTTTTTTTTTTTTCCCCTCATCAATAATCACAGAATGCAGATAATATCAATATATATAAAAATATTTCAAATTTTTTCACGTCTCTGCAAAAGTACACATGCCAGTACTGCATTTAGCTTTTAAAAAAATGACTTATTAATAAAAAAAATATAAAATGTACCCTAATCTCCCATCTAAAACATATTATACATTCAACTCATGCGTAGTGCAATATGATACATATTTAAACCTATTATATAGCACACAAAGCAGGAACATTCAAATTTCATTTTTTAAAATTAATATATGTAAACCTATATAAGAGTTAAAAATGATCCTTATTTATGACAGTCAGATTTTAGACCACCTGGTGTAGCTGGTAGAATGCATTGGACACCTGTGGAGAGAGCAAACTGCCTTGAGAAGAGCTACCCAGCCTGTATAAAATATCGTAGCTCTTTTTGTCTTAAGCTAAGCCTTAATGATTAATACCCACTGAGGATTTCATCTTGGATGAAAAGCTCAGTCCAATTGGATGGTCAGCTGCTGGCAGAAACAATGCACTCTGTGACTCATAGGGATTGCATTTCAAATAGTGGTGCCACTATTATTTCATCTGATTTAATGGGTAATGTGCTACACAACACAGAAAGCTTTTCACATAACAAAGTAGTAGAAAGTGGAAGGTACATATTTATATCACACAAAGTTCCCTGGAAATGTAATAATCTACTACATATTTTTCTTTAACTTCTACATACCCCAGATACCTAGGAATTATTTTTTTTTTCTTTCTTCTACATGTTTTGTATTCATAATCATTCCTAAATTCACAAAGATCTTAAATATTTTGAAATACTACAGATCCTATATCTCAAATAAATGCAAAACATAAAACAGTTACAAAAAGTCAAAAGCGACTTTGTATGATGAAGACGGTTTTATGTTTACTGGTATAATATTGGACCTTGAATTTAAGAAAACATAGAAATACTTCAAAGGATGACTGACTGATGGAAAAGACTGAAATAAGGAGAGAAAGAAAAATAAATCTGCACACATCTATCAGTGAGCTTTTAAAAATTACAGAGGAGCAATTGGGATGGAAAAAATATAGAGATAAAATTGGAATAGAGGGAGAGAAAGAAAAAGCTGCTGTGAGACATGGGTGTGAGTCAGAGGAAAATAAGATACAAAGCAGTCAGTAAATCAAAAATAATTAATGAAAGAGGATGTGCATATTATTCTTGTAAGAAAGGAACTACAATGATGTGATGAGGACAAAGCAGAAACCAAATAAAATCTTTGCACTGATTTATGCCACGTATTTGAGAGGTCATAGTTTGTATGTTTTCATGAGAAGACTTCATTGTACATTTTTAATAGGGATTGAATAAGAAAGAAAAATACTCCAAGGAAATCCTCTCCTCTCCT